CCCAGAAATTTTGTGACTTTAAACCTGTGCTGCCATTATGGTAGCTGCCAGTCCCTGTGGTTATTGAGCACTTAAAATATGGCCAGTTCAAATTGAGATGTGTTTTAAGTGTAAAATACACACTGGTGTCAAAGAGCTAGTATGAAAAAAGAATATAAAATGTCTCATTAATATTTTTATATTGTTTTTATTTGTTTCTAACTCAATTTAGAATCATAATTGAATCTAAGTCTCACATGTACTTTTTATGCTGTTGTTTTCACTGTTTCTTGACGATCCAAGTAGTGATTTCCTGATTAATATCGTGACACTGGTTTTATCCCACAAAGACAGAGATGTGCTTATGTATATGTAGATATATTTAACCTATAAGCCTAAACAAATATTGAGGAAATTTAAGCCCCCTAGAAATAAATTACTGCCTGAGTTTCCAAAGCTAGTTATTGACAGTACAAGGTGCAAAGACCTGGTCACCTAATGCCTAGTCCAATTTAAAATGTTTTTGGTACACAGCAGGGTACAGGAAATGAATTGGTGTAATTGAGGGAGACATTCTGATTGCTGTGATAGAAATGGACATATTTGTACCCTTTACGAGCCTCATTATGACCAGTGGCAGTTGAGAGTGCCTTAGAAAAATTTCTATTCTTGGGAACCCTCTCCAGAGAACTGTGGCTGTAGGCAAGTCATTCCACTTTTGTATTTAACCAGAGTCAAATATCTTACTTTTACCGAATTTGGATTCTGTATGCTTTTTAGAATTTACATTTGGAGAGATGATAGAAACCATTTAATTGTATATTCAATTCAATGTTAAATCCAAGACTAAGTGGAGCTTTTTATTCCTAGCAATCCGTTATTGTGACAGATGCCAACTTATAAAACCAGATCGCTGCCATCACTGTTCCGTCTGCGATAAGTAAGAGAACCTTTTACTTCTAAAATATCTCCATGCTGGTGGTCTTTTTTATTCAGTATGGTTTTTTTTTCCTCATTGTTATCTCCTTTTCTCCTTATTCACACTTCTCAGGTTGTTATTTAGAAAATATAATTGGTATAATCACATTTATATCAGTGTGGTGCAGGACCACGATCAGTTTTCCCTTTTCCCCCAGATTGACGATGACAAGAAGTGCATGATTTTTAGCAGTTCTGACTTGGCTAGTTCAATTTAGCAATGCTTCTTCTGTGAGTGTTTTCCATCTTTGTGAAGATAACCCAAATGATTTCATGACAGTCAGATGTCGTTATATATTAATATTTAATATACTACAAGGACAGTATTACTTGGCTTAAGAATTGATAGCAAAGAAAAAGTTTTATCCAGACTTTCTGTAAGTCTGTTGATGTTTTGTACTTTCTTTAGCATAAGATTGTTGTATATTACCATATTATATTTTTTTTAGAAAATGAGTTGATTTGCATCCTAAAGCATATATATTTTGAATTTAAAATTCTATTATTGTATCATAACTAGAATTGGCTATAGCATTTAAGTGAGAACTTTTGCTATTGTTCAATTTTTAGATAAGTAAATAATTTTGCAATATTTTACTTGCCACAACTCTGAAATAGCCATATTTTATATTTTCTTTGTATAATTTAATGTGATTAAAATTTTGTGGGATGTTGGGTTTTGAGTTTTGTTTTGTTTTCTAGATGTATTTTAAAGATGGATCATCATTGCCCATGGTGAGTTTGGCCCTATATTCAAATGAGTTTCTGTTTCTTATAACTTTTAATAAATTAAATCCTATCTATTTGAATGTTTTTACAAATGAAATATTACCTTAGCTGACCTAGGAGGTACTTTCAGATTTAGTTTCTGATATTTATTTAATTGGTTTAAAAGAGCCTTTATTGAGGAAGCTTTCCATGAAATAATTTTAAAGCCAGCTGGTTAACAATATAAAAGTTAATTTTGCATGTTAGCTCAGAACAAAGGATTTTCTTTGTATCCA